CTATTCGTTTGTAAAAGAATTTAAATATTCAGACTTTTTTTTTTGGTAAGGGAATATTCAGACTTTACCAGCTAATTAATGTGACAAAACACCTAAAACAAAAATTCTTTTGTTCTAAAAAAAAAAAAAAAGATACCACCTTTCACCTTTTACGTACCTGCTGGATTTGAGCATCGCATGATCATCTATTAAACCTACACACCCAATGCACCATTAAGTTACAACGACTTCCTGTCTAAGAGAAAATTTAACTCATCATCTCTATATATCCTTTTTTTTTGTTCAACCATCTCTATATATCTATTAATTGAAAGATACAATACTATTGAAGCTATCTGAATATTTTATGAATAGATTCTGAAAATATGAAAAGATAAAATAAACAGAGAAAAACACATAGTATCTTTTGAATTAAAATCATTTTTACACAATATATATGGTTGGTAATACAAAACAGTACAAACTTTTTAACGGTACAAGATGATATAAGAGATAAAACAAATTTGTGATTGATTACACAAGAGATGATACACGTTGTAATATAGCGGTATATTGTATACACGTTGTAATGCAGTGGTATAATATGTATACGTTGTAATTTAGCGATATAATGTTACCATTCAGAACCAATTTGACTTCTAGTTTGTGTGAGTAACCATAATAAAGAGGGTCCATATGATGGTATTGGGTTTGGCATCCATTATCATGACCCGACCCGGAGGTCTGCTAGGGAATGCTCGGACTAGGCCCATGAAGGAGGAGTTCGATCCAGAAAGACGAGCTTGGTTTAGGCCCACGACGTTTAGCTGGACTAGAAGCTTCCAAAGAAAAAAAGAAAAGATGAGTTCAAAGAATGAAAAATTACTTAGAATTAAGAACGAAAAATCTGTATTTTGTAATCATTTCGTAAATATTTCAAAAACATGTATTTGGACTTTATTTTAGATTGGAGAAAAATGAGTTAACAAAACTAAACATGGTAGATTCATTGTAAAAATTGTTATATTTATATGTTATTGAAATGATGACATGAAAATATATTGTTTTTTTTTTTTGAAAGACATGAAAATATATTGTTTTTCGCTAGTATCACCGATATATCAATATCTGGATTTAAGTCCACATAGTTAATGCATACTGCGAGAAGAAAAAAATCTGATTAAAATGTTACTACAATTTCGTTCAAGAAAATAAATGGCTACCTTGTTTTCCATAAAGTTCTTTTGTTCAAGAAATTTAATGAGAATGTTACAAGTTTAACCAAGTTACTTGCTAAAATGTTACAAGTTTAACCAATTTTCATTTTTTAAGATGTAATTTTA